ATGTGACATGCCGCCGGTACTGGAAACCACTGTAAGGCCTTTGCATCATTTATGCCAAGCTCCTCTGGGCCTTCCTGGACCCCTTTATCACCAGGAGATAGAAACTTGAAAACTGTCCCCTTAGCTACTTCACACCCCTAGAATAAAACACAAAAGCCTAACGAATTCAGAAAATCTAAAATACTTTAAAACTTTTCTATTACTCCTGAAAATTTGAAAAGAAAACAGTTTTCACAGCCTTTTCATGCTCACAAATTATTTCAACTCAATATTAATACCATATTATAAGGGGCTGGGGATTTAGCTCATCGGCAAAGCGCCTGCCTGGCAAGCGCAAGGTCATGAGTTCAATTCCTGGTACCGGAAGAAAAACAAACAAACAAACAAAAAAATACCACATTATAAATTTACAAATGTACCATTCACTCAATGGAAAAGTTAAAATGGGACACGCTTCCTTCTCAGTGCCATGCAATCTGTGCAGTTATGGAGAATGCAGGGATAATTCTACCCACAATTAAGTTTTTACTTTTTTTTATTTTAAGGAGAAGAAGGAAAAAATAGAAATAAGAATCAAACAGAGTTTCAAATCAAGCTGATAGGAGCTAGGTAACAGTAATTAATTCACTGGTGATTGTTATCTTCATGGTAGTTACTCAGAGTACAAGATATAGGCATGAAATGCTATCCAAACAATTTTAGCACAGATCTCCCTTCACATGTACTTTTTAAAAAACACTTTTGTGCAAATATTGGCCCTTTCTATTTTTTCCCTCATTGCCAAATCACTCAAGTTTACGTGTTATCAAAACCTTACAGAGCTGTCAGCAGGTGTTTGAGTTGTAGTGTTGCAGTCAGCAGCAGTTTTTGGTAAAAGATTGATGTTATGAAAGCCAACAAGTTTCCCAAAATATATGATCTCACAAACGTTTCAAGGCAGAAGCACGGTGAGAAAAGAAGGCGTCAAATTGTCACAATAAAGCGAAGCTGTCACGTTTCACCCGCCAACCCTGATGCTCCTGGTGCGTGGGCAGAGAGTGGGACCGAACTGGAGTGGGCTGCAGTCAGTAAGCCAGAGCTCCCTTTTTCTCTCCTCTCGCCTCTGCATAAATCAACAGCAAAACAAACCTGGCAATCCAGAATAATCCAAAATCACTGTCGTCCTAATTTCTTAAAAAAGGTAGGAAGGCAATACTATGAGCTGGGAAAAATGCTTAGGGGCACAATCGGAAGACCTAACCTGGGGTTTCTGTCTCCACGCAGGTCCTGAACTGATGGATTTCCCCACTGTTCTAATACCCAAGGATGGCAAGAGATAAACTCGTTTACAAGGATGTTAACCAACGATCACATAGATTTTTCACAAGTGTAATTTTCACCACAATCATTCCCACTTCGCAGCTCGCTGCACTGAGCTTTGGGTTATTACGCAGCTTTTCCAGCCGCCTCCAGTGAGACGGGTCAGGGCCCAGAGATGGCACCACAGTCCTACTCCGAGCCGCAGCTTCTCTTCTAGAAGGAGGAAGGCGGACAGTGCAGGAGAACTGGGGCACAGCAGCGCACAGCGAAAAGGCGGTTCCTATGCAAAAGGGCAATCTGCACGGCGCTGGGGAGGGAAGAGAAGGAAGTAAATTCAGACAATTCACGAGTAGATTTTAGTGTTGGACAGTTCTTTTTTTTGTTTGGTTGTTTGTTTTGTTTGTTTTTTTCCGATACTAGGAATCGAACTCACCACTTGTGCTTGCCAGGCAGGCGCTGTGCCGCTGAGTTAAACCCCCAGCCCCTCACGAGTAGATTTTAAAAGAAGTGGACAGGAGACCCTAAAACCTGACCGCGATTTATCCTAACAGGACTTTGGGTGACAGTTTTAGAAGTCCTCAGCCTACCCCTAAAACTGCCAGCAGAGGGCTCCACGCGCGGCGCGTTTGTTTCCGATGATCGGCGGCTACATTTATTGGACCCTACTCCCTCCGTCTGAGGATGAGGAGAGGAGGTGTTATTAAGTCTCTTTCGCCCTTATAAGCTGAAATAAGCATGAGTGGAAAGGGGGAACCGTGCACAAGCACCCAGGTTGTCTGAAGCGCGCTCTCCGCGGGTGAGCGCGTCCCTGGCTTGAGAAAGAGCCCGGGCGAAGGGAAATCCGCGTCCGGCTCCTCCGCCCGGGAACCCAGGCTGCTGCGCCCCGCGATCGCCTTTATCGGGTTCCTGCGGGCGTGTCCGAGAAAGAAATGGAAGAGGACGGGCGAGCGGGAGACACGGGCTCCAGAAGGAAAAGTATTGTTAGGAAAGGAGGGTTTTTTAATGGGTTTTTTTTGGGGGGGCGTGTGAACATGTTAGATGTTGGAACCATCGTTTCCAAAATTAGTAGGTGTAATGAGAGTGAACTTGCAAAACGCGCTGAGCCGTACAACGTTTTCAGAACCTCCCCTTCAAAATTGCGCAGGAGGAAACTGAGAGGCTGTTCAACATGCTGCTGCAAATTTCCGACAGAGGGCGCTGTTGCCCGCTCAACGACGGAACGCTTCCCGGGACGGTTTTCCTTGAAATTTCTAGGATTTGTGAATAATGCCCACATCGAAAAATTAAGCGGCATTTTAAAATTATAATTATACATTTTGTGGTCGTTCGCTACACTGTATATATGTGCATATATTTTTAGGTTTGTGTTTTATGCCTCATAAAAACTTGATTGATTTTGTATTTTTCCTGAAGAATTTTGGTAAATTTTAACAAAACACTTTAGGACATTTCTACTCTTTGAAATACCTAATATTAGCAGAAAACAAAATTACATATGAAAAATTGAAATTATACATATACATGTGTATAAAATGTTTATACTAACACATTATATATATATTTTTAAATAGTTTTATAGAGAATATCCCTCTGGGTTCTTTTATGAAATCTTAGTGCTTTTTTCATATTAATCAATAATACATTAAAAGGTGATAACATGTATTAACAGCATTTAGAGAATAAAATGTTTTTCCCGATGTTTATTGGGGTTGAGATGATAGGTGATAGAAATAAAAGAGTTGCTGATTTCAAAAGGAAAATACAACTATTCACAGTAATAAATTTGTGTCGGGAGAATCCGAATTTCCATGTGTGTAATAGCTACCTTCCAAAATATCGAACTGATTGATTTCAGCTCTAGAAGGAGGGTGTAGAATCCATTTCAAATCGCACCGCACAATGGGATGAGGAAGGATATCTTCCCATCTCCTAACCAGCTGGGGGTGGGGGTGGCAAAGAAGATGCTTCTGGTGGGAAATGTGTACAGAGTCTGTGTGATTTAGGGTATAATATTAAAAGAGAGGAGGGAGAGGAAGGAAGGAAGGAAGGAAGGAAGGAAGGAAGGAAGGAAGGAAGGAAGGAAAGGAGGGAGGAAGGAAGGAAGACAGAGAGGAAAGGAGGAAGGAAGGAAGGACGGGACAGAAGGAGGGAGAGAGGGAGAGAGGCAGGGAGGGAGGAGTGAAAATGAAGAAAGAAAGAAAAACAAGACAGCAGAGAGAAAGCAGAGAGAACGGGCAGTGAAGAGGGCTTATTTTGAAGTTCTTTCTGAGGCACCCTTGTGCTCTGCCATTTGACTTATGGTAAAAATTACATTAAGAATCCGCAGAATTGCTGCTGTGCCCTAGGCGTAGCACCTCCTCGGTGTCTGCGAGTCCGGGCGCCGCAGTGGCCCGGAGCCCTCTGCCCCAGGGCCGTGGGTCCCGGCTCCAACACAGCAGCGCAAGGCGCTTGGGTTTTAAAGACGATCGCCCTTTACAGACTCGTTCTTATCAGGTTTAATAACTTCCAACCTAAATTGCCCCAACCCGCCTCATTCCCTCTTGTCATTTATTTTCTGCCTCAAGGGCAGAGACCTTCCTCTGCGCTTTCCTCGGGGCTGTAGGGAGCCTTCCGCACCCTGCAAGGGAGGCCAGTACAGAGCGATGGGAGGAAGACAGAGCCGGCGAGTCCTCACTTCCCGAGATTCACAGCCTGAGTCTCCAAGGGTGCTTATCTATCAGGTTTGCTGAACTTCCTTCTCCTTCTTTATGCTTTCCTAAAACAAACTATACAAATGACTCTTTTAAGAGAAAGAGTCCGAAGAAAAACCTCTTGCCAGTTGTAAAACGTTCTGTCGTGATCTCTTCGAAGAATATTCAGCTTAAACCTTCTCAGAGATTCAGGTGACCATTTCTTGTGTCTCCACGATTAAAAGCCCTGAAAGTGACACACAGCAGATGCAAAGTGAACCTATCCTAGCCTCTGTTAAAAAGGCTCAAAACTGAACCTTGTGGACGTGTGTCTATGTTGCCTACAACATTGGAGAACACTTCATAAAATGGAGACTCCAGCCAAGACAAATGGCGCGTGGAATCCGTTTAAAACACACACAAACAGCCCCTAAAGCAGCAAGCAATACAGGCGGAGGTGTTCCACAATATTTAAGTTTCCACATATGTTGAGAAAAATGGCTAAAATATTGGAAACAGTCCTTGTGGTGGCTGGCGTTTTCATTCTACACTGACAGAGGTAAAAAGTTTCAAAAAAGAAGTTACAAAACCATCCACCGAGAAAGATAGCCCTTAAAATCATCAAAACCTGTTTTCAAAATAACTTCCCCCTGAGTACAGACGAATTGAAGATTTGTGTCTTAAAAATATCGGTGATGATCTTCCCTTTCAAAGCTGTGTTAAAAATTAGGGGGCTGATGGTCTGCAGTTTCTCATCATGAATTGTTAAACTCTTTAGTTAGTGACTACAATGATTCATCATTTTCAATAGAGAGGTTTTAAATGTATGTATTCATATTAATCACCCTGCACAGCTATCTCTTTTAAAGGCACGTTTAGAGTCTGTAGGCTTTGTGTGACCCAGAGGTGCTTATATAAGTACATGTGGGTATCTCCATGAAAATACATGTTTATGATTTTTATAATATATATGTCTGGGGTGTGCATCTAACTCCTATGTGTGCAGTAATACACACAGTTTTTCTGTCTGCTGAGGCTCACTTCTCCAGCCTATTGTTTGAGACAAGAGATATAAGTTGCATGGGAGAGGAGCGTCGGATTTGGTGTGTATTCCCCATTTCCAATTATAGATGGATCATTACAGACAGCACAGTCCTGAGAAGCCAGACATCTGCTGCTCACATGAATGCACTCACCTCCTAGAGACCAGGCTGCCATCATGCTCTGGAAGCTCGTGGAGAATGTCAAGTACGAAGATATCTATGAGGTGAGCCCACACCCCAGATGCACTGGAGAGCTTTGCAGATAGAGAATTTGAGCTTCTTGACGTCCCGACTGAGATATATTTTTAAACTATTTACTCAGAGATTGCTGGTTGGTTTTCTCAGCTTCTTGTAACTTTTAGAAAAGCCGGCTGCGGGAGACTTTACCATTCTGAAAAAGAACTTTCAGGGGGAAATCTGGCAACTTTAAATGGGAGAGATTTTTTTTTTTTTTTTTTTTTTTTTTTTGCGTTTTATTTTGCAGTCCCCCTGTTTAGGCGATGAGGGGGGACTGTGGTGCTACTGTGTGCGGACAGACTGTCCGGGGAAAACGGATTCTGCTCAGCACGCGGGCTCTCCTCGATCTGAGTCTGGAGGAGGACTGGGCTTTCAAGCCTGACTCGTGGCAGACTGGGACTTTTTGATTTTTATTTTCAATACCAGCTGCGGGATGGCAGCGAGCGCGCCGGGGTGGAGACCGGGCAGGCGGAGGGAGCGCGGTTGCCCGCCGGGCTGCGGGGCGCAGACTCGCGCTGTGCTCCCCGCGCTGCTGCTGGGGGTCAGCCGCCGCGTTCGGGGCCGGGTCTCCGGGTCTCCGGGTACCCTGATCTCCGGGCCTCCGGGTCTCCGGGCCTCCGGGTCTCCGGGTCTCCGGGCGTCCGGGTCTCCGGGTCTCCGGGTCTCGGGGTCTCCGGGTGTCCGGATGTCCGGGTCCCCGGGTCCTCGGGTCCCGGCTCCTCCGCGCTCGCGGGGCCCTGGGCGGTGACTCCGCGGGCGGCCGGGCCGGG